GAGGGGGTTGGGGGTGGGGGGACAAAAACAGTAAATTGGTTTCATACTCTTAAGGTTTATTATTTATTTGTTTGTTTATGTATTTGTATGTCTTATGCATGTCAGGTTGTTCGTGCTGGTTTGAATATTGAAATTGCTCCAGACCTGATTGCCAACCAACTTAATGTTCGAAATGGAGCTCTGATTCTGCAGGTATATTGCTGTCACTGTTGACCCTGCTAGGGACAGTTATCCTTTAGAATAAAACTCGCAGTATCTCTTTTGTCTAAACCAATTCCTGCTCTATTTAGGTACCTGGAAATAGTCTTGCAGCCAAAGCTGGACTTCTTCCTACTACCAGGGGTTTTGCAGGAAATATAGTACTTGGTGATATTATTGAAGCAGTGGATGGCAAACCTGTGAGTGATTTCTGTTTTAGGTGTGTTAGGGGGGCATGTTGTTTTTTGTTACTGCAAATTGGTGATATGAACATTGCTCCTGGCCTCCAACTTGCAGGTCTAGAATTCGAGTAATGTGAGGTGTGGGTGAATAAACTAATAATGTTGATTCCATTAGGAGCTTAGGGAAAAAGAAAGAAAAATAATATTTCCTAGTCTGCTTAAGCTTGAAAGGATTAGATTTGGTTAGAAAGCACAAGTAATTAGGTGATTGTACTGATAAGCAAAGAGAGCGCAAACGAATGAAAAGGGTTAAATTAGTTTGCAGTTTATGCTCTAAGTAGTCCTTTCTATTTTTCATAGCTCCGGGCCTTGATTACTGGTTATTGTTATTGCATGCCATCTATTTTATGGTTTTTATGATGATGTTTTATTTCTGTGATTTCTGTTGACGATACTGATATTTTGTCTCTTCTTATTTTATTTCCGTCTTCCTGAGCCGAGGGTCTATCGGAAACAGCCTCTCTGCCCCATCGGGGTAGGGGTGAGGTCTGCGTACACACTACCCTCCCTAGACCCCACTTTGTGGGATTTTATTGGGTCGTCGTTGTTGCTCTAACTAGTCCCTTTAGTTTTTCTCTTTCCCTCTCTCATTGGTGAGATGAGGATCAATATGATTTTTTTTTGTTGGTTATTGTTCTAAGCAAGTCTGCATTTCTGAGATTTCTCATTTCATGTTGTTGCAGGTTCGGAGTAAAGCAGATTTGTATAAAGCCCTGGATAACTATAACATAGGTGATGAAGTTCGGCTAAAAATACGTAGGGGCAACGAAAACATGGAGTTGAGCATAGCATTAGAGGAAAAGGATTCATGACAATTGGAGCTTTCTGGTTTTCAGCTTAATTAGTGCCAGCCATCAGTTTACTTGATAATATATCGTTCCAATATCTGTATACTATAATTAAGAATTGTCTGGCGGGAATCTGGAAATGTATGGAGCTTGTTTAAATGCTGCCAGAAGAATGAATCTCTTGTAAAGCATTTTGAGTTACCATCAAAAGGAGGGGAAAATGAGCAATCCTTGAATTTTTTTATGCAACAATGTCTTGCTTCTTCCAGTTCTTGCTAATTTTCTCTGAAAATTTAGCTCATGGCGTCAATTTATATTAAGCTGTGTTTTCTTATTCAAGGATTTTTGAAGTGAAATGTTATTTTGTTCATTATAATGTTTCTCAAGATACTTGGTTCCTTTCTTCCGTTAATGTTTTCCTAGGTCTTCTATTATTGACACGGGGTAGGAGGCGCAACTACTTTTGCGTCATTGAGAAGAAAGAAACAGATCAACAACATTGCAAAGGAGATTGCATGCATATTGCATATGCAGCGTGAGAGCAGGAAGAGTAACCTCGAGCAAGGCTAGGATTTTTGAGAGTTAGAATAATGCAGATGTAGTAGATGTTTACTTCTTGCTGTGATGATAGTTTTTTTTAAAGCTAGGTATGTAAATATATACTTGGTGATTACTAAAATTTCTAATTACCAACAAAAAAAAAAAAAGAACTGTTAAAACCTAATTTCTCATTTAATCGCTTGCATTTACACGAGAGAGAAGACAGGGAAGTCTAATGGACATAGTATTTGTACAAATTTAGGAGAAATTCAAAAATAGCCAGATTTACAAGTGGTCATTCAAAAATAGTTACATTTTCAAAAGTAATTGAAATTTAGCCACTTTTCATGTAAAGATAGATCTGAACGAAAATACTGTTCAAAATTCGAAAAATATTCCAGCATAATATACTGGAGTTCCAGCATAATATACTGGAGTTCCAGCATAAGTATACTGGAACTCCAGCATAATATACTGAAGTTCATACACATGTGCTCTAATCTCCAGTATATTATGCTGAAACTTTTCGCGTATTGAAGTTCATGCTGGAAGTTCATACATATGTGTACTTATCTCTAGTATATTATGCTGGATCGGTCCCTATTGCAGCAAAATAATGGTTATTTTTTAATGACTTTGCAAACGCTGGCTATTTTTTAATGACTAGTCCGAAAACTGGCTAGCCCGTACTATTTTTACTACAAATTCCTTGTCAGCCCACAAAGTTCGGAAAATCCATGAGAGTTGACTTCAATGGGCTTGTGTTTGTGAAAGAGCTACAAGTAATTGAGAATAGGAAATAGTTAAAGAAAGATATGGAGTTGGTAGAATTTATATCAGGTATTGGTAAAACCACCACCAACAGGTCAAGATGGCCGAGTTGGTCTAAGGCGCCAGTTTCAGGTACTGGTCCGAAAGGGCATGGGTTCGAATCCCATTCTTGACAACACATTTTTTTCCCTCCTCCTACTCATGACTAAACAATCCTTTTCTGTCAAATTGGATTATCCTAGTACATCTGTCTCCTTTTGGGTTGGCACAAAAAAGTGGAATAGCATAACTCTTCATGAAAAATTACAATCTTCTTGCTGCTTAACGTTGTTGGAGTCAGCTTGTTCCCTCTGGAACTAGAAGTTGTTGTCAGAAAATTAAAAGTTTTCATATCAAAAAGACATTCTCTACAATTTCAAATAAACAAAACTTTCCACAGAAAAGATGGACTCCAAAGGATAATACCCTCCGGGAAAAGAAAAAAAGAGGACTAATATTAACAAGGGAAGAGCAAAAAAGAAGGATCTACATGTATTTTCCGGTGCACGAAACTAATCTTTTTTAATTTGTTGTGACACCAGACTAGTTGATTTGTTGTTAGCCTAGACATGTTAAGGACTCTAGCTACTAATTTCATGTCTACTTGAGAGAAAAAGTAGAGTACATGATCTGAATCATCTTCTTCCTTATGCTTCCTGAACCTCCTCAGTATGCAGCATTCACCTCTCAAAGCATGTTTCAGCTTCTTTTCTTTCTGCATTCCACAAGAATCGCGCAATGAGTGACAACATAATGAATTTTTATACTATCAGCTCGCCTAAACGATAATTACGGGTAATAGTAATACAATGATAGTGTAAAAATTATTTGATACTATCAATGTACATTAAATCCTTAGGCAATGCGTATTATCAGCGAAAAACTAAGAATCTACCTTTTCAAGACTTTTTTTGACGTCCATTAAAAGCTCCAAATCTTCTGGTGCTTGAAGCCCTTGACGTTTCCTATTTTGACCCTTCACCATCATGTTGGAGCAATTTCTATCAGCTCTAACAAATTGCCAAAATATTCGAATTGATTCTTCCAGTATCTCCACTAGCATGTCACTTGTTATGAAATAATCAGCCTTTTCTCCAGCTCTAGCCTTGTTTTTATCTTTCATTCTGTCCTCTGCCCCATCAACCTCTTTATTAGTACATTGAATGATAAAACAAGAGTTTAAGTTTATGCACCGACGGTGTGTAAAATATATTGACACAATCGTGTCACTTATAAGATAAACACTAATTGTTAACATGATAAATGTGGCACAAGGTTTCATTAGTAGTGTAAGAACTCTATTTCGTTAGTGCATACAACGTTTACTCTAAAATCTTTTCAGACGCTTACCTCTTATGACAGGAACTTGAAGAAGATTACGAAGATCATATCGACTCTTGATGTAATATTGAACTCTAGGCCCTTGAAAAGGTTCATTTTCTATAAATCTTTGCAAGAGAACTTGAAACTGTTGAAACTCTCCAGCAACTTCATTATATGTACGGACACCACGAGGATCAGAATCCCACAAACTTAAAGCCTTCCCATATTGCCAGTGCAGAAATTCCCAAGAAAGACACATCTGTGCAACGTATATGACTTCAAGATCACTCTGCAATACTTTGATAAACTTTACCATTGGGTCAATATTGTCATGTCTTTTATGCTTCAATAGCCGAATATTTTGTGAAATAAGGGATTTTAGTTTAGGACCTGAACATCTCTGGCTTGAGATATGTTGAAATGGATCATTTATTGGATCTTTCTGCAGATAACCTGTAAAATTTTCGGATCAGAACAGCAAAACATGAAAAGAATTTAAGTTCTCTGCACAGACTAAGTTACCTGTAATAGTATGTAATTATAAAAACAAACATGGGTTGGTTACAAACTTACAATGATTCATTAAGTAGCAAATTTATTTTCATATCGTGGAGAACAAAAATAGGAAAAAAAGATAGTAAGTCTTTTTTCTTGTGTCTACTTTTGTTTGTTACGTCATGCATCCCAATGCTTGAGATTTCATTTTGTTCTGAGTTAGGAGAGCCCAGCTAACCAGATTTTGTGGGTCCTGTTATTCATTTCACCTAATACTAATTGATCCAAATAAATATGAAGATAACCATGAACAACTAATACTAGTACACCAACTAAGAAAGGACGAAAAGGAATAAAGGCCGATTCAGGATTTAATGTTTATGGGTTCTTGCAACGACCTCGAGTAAATTTACAATAGTAAGTGGATTCACATTCAAATATTTATAGATAATTTAGTGAATTATTCGAACACATCAAAAACTACTGGGTTCACGTAAATCCGCCCCTGCTTTTCGTGATCATTATGCAGAAAACATGGAATTCAGTTACTTAATGTGAGTGAAAATAGTTTTTGCAAATTTGTTGTTACGAATAAAGTTCAGCAATCATACGTTAACGTTGAAGTTGTGAGTTGTTACTGACCTATTGCGTACATCTTCTGGTACGTCAAGATGTCAAATTTGCGCATCCTTTCTCTATAACTCTTGTAAAACTTATGAAGTTCACTCATGCAATCTTCACGTTGAAACTTTTCCTCAATTTTCCATGGCTGCAAATCTTCCATTTTTAGAGACCCTGATTCTTCCAAAATAGTAGGCAAACCCATATCTCTGACTTTCCTAAGTTCCATTTTTAATTGTTCAATTAATTCTTGATGTTCCCACAACGTCTCCAATTTGTTTGCATCTTCATTTCTTAACTTGACAGTTTCTTGAAAATCATCCTCAGATAAAAATTGTTGTGCTTGATCATGTTCTAATTTCCTTAGCTCTTCCATTATATCACTATCAGAATCTTCAGATTCTTGATTTTCCTCTGACATTTCAAAATCACTTAGTTTTTCATTATGCTCAAATTCACCACCAAAGTCTTCACCAGTCAAGAAGCCATCACTATACTGATCAACTAATTTGTTCATAAGGTAACGAATATGCTCAAAACCAACTGACACAGTATCAGAATCAGTTAAAGAATCCTTCTCAGATTCAAACAGAAACTCATCACTAATATTTGATTCTCCTTTCACGGAATTGAGTCCTTCACTTTTCTGCATTTCCTCTTCATCACACGTTAAATTACCTGAATTCCCTTTTTCTTCCTCATTAAAGGATTCACTTTTACTATGAACTTCTTTCAAATCCTCTGTTTCAACAACCTCTGTTTCTGTGAGGGACTTATGGTTACACGTGGAGGGCATCCATTTAGAGCTAAGAAATTCACCTTTTTCTCCCCTGCTCTTACAAAATTCTTCATAGGTTGGAAATCTAAATGTAAAACTCAACTCAGTTTTTTGTACCTCCCCATTATTTTCCGAATCTGGGAATTCAGAAGCATCCTTAAAAGCTTCAGACTCAGAATCTAACTGCTGTTCTGCCTCTGAAAAATCAGCTTCTTTCTGATACTCTTCTTTAAAGCCTGAATTCTTGTTTAATGAAGGATTACCCCTTCTTAATCTGTAATTTAAACGAAGAAAATAGGAAGGATTGTTAAAATAATGGAAAATAAAAAAGGGACAGTGGATTTACATAAATAAATACCTGCGGAAGAAAGTGGTGATGAAGCTGAACAGAGGAGACAAATAGGTGGAAACAGAGGCAAACGCGGTAGTAAGCGACAAAAAAAGATTTTGATAGAGGAACCGAGAAAAAGAAGCCATATTCAGAGAAGAGAAGAAATTTTGAGAGTGGCCATGGATTTTAATCAGTACGAAAATTCAGGTGGAAGCAAAGAAACAGAGCAAAACAGGGGTTGGAGGAGAATTTATGACGTCAAAGAAAGAAATAGACTAATCACCTGTAAAAAAAATACAACGAACCCCATGTCAAAGTTAGCAAGCAAATCAAAAGACTAATTTGGAAGTAAAAATTCGACCTAACTGTGAGAATTCACGTAGTGGACAGATTTACGAGTAACAATTGAGGGTAGGGATAATTACTTGTCAGCAACTTGGCCTAATTGACATCCTTATTCTTCACAAAGAGAGAGAGAGAGAGAAATTTGTCGTTCAAAGATATCCACATAATGAGTAATTATCAGTTGAGAAGTCCTGTTTTTGCTGCTTATTCTTTGAGGCGTTGAATGTTGGGGTTGGGGGTGGGAGTGGACATATAGAGAAAGGAAAATTGGGGTAAGATTTGAATGTTGACAGCTTCTTTGTATATCTCTTTGGTTTTTTCAGGTGTAGGAGCTTACGTTGCAACGTCTTTCATACGCCAAGTGTCTTTGACATTATGGATTCTCGGGTTTTATGAATTGGGCAACTAAATGAAAAAAAAAAAAAATCAATATTACTTGCCTTGAAAAAGAAGAAGAAAAGATAGAAAAAAATTCTTTGTAAGCTTAGCCTGCCCTAGCGGTGGCAAATGGATACAAAGACCGTTATTTATTCATATTATATATCTATTAATAGCGTGTTTGGCCAAGCTTCTAAACTCAATTTATTTTAAGAAGTATTTTTCTTAAAAATACTTTTAAAAAAATATTTTTGATGAGAAACAGTTTGTATTTGAGTAATTAATTTGAAAAACTCTTTTGAGTAGTAATTAATGTTTGATCATGCTTTTGAAAACTATTTTTAAATGTATTTTTCTTAAAAGTGCATCTCCGAAAAATATTTTTGGAGAGAATCTACTTTTTTCTGCTTCTCCTCAAAAATACTTTTTTTCCTTCCAAAAGTTTGGTCAAACACCTCAATTTTTCGCCAAAAGTGTTTTTGACAAAAAAAAAATACTTTTGACCCAAAAAAAGCTTGGCAAAACAGACTATAAAAATGAGTTATATAATGAATCTTTTAAAAACAGATCAAATATAAATTAAAACTATATAATCCTCTTAGAAAATAAATAATCAATAGATAACTAACATGCGTTCTAGTCAACTTTCAAGAATAATCAAGTGATCAGCTAATCGCATTTCCGATATTAATCAAAAGTTGAACTACCTGGTCTGAGAAGTGAGGCGTCTATTTTTGAACATCTTATGTGTTTTTCGCGTAAGAATATGTATTGCTTGTAAAGAAAGCATAATGTATTAGCTATAATTTTATAAAACAGACCTTAGAGAGAGAATGAGCAACTTCTCACTAACCAAACCATCAGGAAATTCGCATCAAATTCCACCCAAACCCCCTGATAAAAATTCACCAACAATCAATCCAACAATCAATTCTACTTCTTTTTATAAGGAGAAATTAATTCAAGGAGAAATATTCTCAATCAACTCTCGATCAAACCCAGGGCCTTTGTGTACAACAATGGACACCCAACCTTATGACTTTGGAAATACTTCAATGGAAGATGTGGGCCAAAATATGAGGCAAATCATCCTGAGTGAGGATGATAAACAAAGAATGTACAATTCATGGAAGTACTCGCTAATTATCAAACTCATGGGCAAAAGAATTGTTCATCACTACCTTAAGAAGAAAACTCAAGAGTTATAAAAGGTAGATGAAAATTATCCTCTAATAGACCTAGGGGAAGATTACTATACGGTTAAATTGATGAAAGAAGAAAGCATGAAAAGGATTCTACATGATGGTCCATGGTTCATCAATGGTTACTTCTTATCAGTACAAAAATGGGTTCCAAATTTTGTAGCAACAAAGGCATCTCAAAACTGCACTGCCGTTTGGATTAGATTACCACAGCTTCCCACAGAATTTTATGATGGGATCATTCTAACAAAAATTGGGAACTACACTGGTAAGTTACTGAAAGTGGATGCATGCACATCAGCCACATTAAGGGGGAGATATGCAAGAATATGTGTGGAAATGTCATTGGACCAGTCGGTCAAAACCTTCATGATTGGAAACTCAAACAACCAATTCACTATGAAGGAGCAGGTTTCTTGTGCAAAGTTTGTGGAAGGTTGGGCCATTCCAATCAAAGTTGCCCCCATAGGACTCTTCCAAGTTGCCAAAAAAATGGACCAGTCACAAACGAGGCATCACTACCTAAGGAGGACACTACACAACAGTGGATGACATTTTCCTTTCCAAGAAAAAGCAAAGGCAAGGCAGCCAATCATCACTTGAATAAGGCAATCTCCGCTACTGGCCCAGGTATCAATGTACGCATCTTTGATGCAATGTCAAGTAAGTTTTTAAATACCCAGCATATGAACTATGACAAAACTCAAGTGCAAAATAACTCTAACGTAGTCTATAATACCTTACAATCAGACAAAGGAAAAGGGACAACTTTAGAAGCAAATCACCTCACTGGAAAACCAGACATTGGGAATAAGGGTGGTTTTTCCAACAAACCACAAGAGTACACAGGTTTGCAAAACTCTATTAAAGAAATAAATAAAAAAGACAACTATAATTTACATGGAACATTATACTCCCTCCCTACAAGTGGCAAAAACGTGTCACAACCAAATCTTAATAATAACTGTCCAAACCTTTTATCTAACAAATTGGATTTGGTAGTAAATCTCTCAATAACCAACATAAGCAGTCAAAACACCATTATTTCCCCTAGTAATAGCCATCTCGCTAACTTAAATATCCAATCAAATGAGATTGAAAATCCCTTACTAGAAGCTAACATGCAAAATCTCCCCATTGTTTTTAACTTCACCATGCAATACATGGACGTAGAAGACTGCCAAATGGATGAAAGCAAATCCATGCAAGATTTGGAAGGTCTTCTTATAAATCACACACAAACCCTCCCAAATACTACAAACATAGAGCACATCATTACTAAACCTACTACACCAGTAGATAGTATCACCCCTATATTACCCCAAGCCACTAACAATGTCAAGACCACCACTAACTTTGAGAAGGAGATATCGCCTGATTCAACTAATCCACATCTCAAGAAATCAGAGAATGAACAACCTACCACCACTCCCTCCTCAAATTCAACCAAATCCAACCAAATCCAGTCATCTATGCCCAACCTCCGAGCCCTCCCAACCATGTACCACAATTATGGGTGGAACTCGGCCTTCAAGGGCATGCCATCTCCTTCAACATGGAGATCAATGGAGAGAAGTCTATTCTAATCATCCAAAACACACACTTCCTTGCACAACTAATCTTGGAGGGAATGAGCCTAGCCATGAACAACTACATAAATCAAACGTGGATGAGCAATATACTAAAACCCTTAGCACCCTCACTAAATCAAAACCCAGTTCACAACATGCAGCAAATATGGAATATACCCCACAATTCCAACCAACAACTACCTCAAAACCCACCTATCAATCTCCCCTTCTTTGCTTCGGAGGACCTGATGATGCTGAACTCTATCTTCACACAATGGAATCCACAACCCATGCAAGACTAGCTGTAGACATGTGATTTTTGACCATCTCCAAACTTTTTCATATTTTAGCACGTAATCATTTAATTTAGGCCTAATATAGCTATTTCAACTAATTTTTACTCTTTCACTTTATTTTATTACAAGAAAAATGAAAATTACAAAAGTTGTTCCATTAATGTTTTGTAATCATTTTTAATCTTGAAAAATACCAAAAAAAAAATAGTTTATTTTAACGGTCAGTCTTATTTTAATAGTTATTTTACTTAAGTAGGATTAATTAATAAATGAGATCGCATTTTTAATCTCGTTCGCGGAGAAAGAATAAAATCTGCGCTCGAGCAACCCATTTTTAGGCCTACTTTTGAATCTAAACTCTGCACCCCTAAGAACGGCAGCCATTTCCCTGGATTTGGAAAAAAGGGATCGATCATTACAACAACAACAACAACAACAACGACGACCCAGTATAATCCCACAAGTGGGGTCTGGGGAGGGTAATATGTACGCAGACCTTACCCCTACCCCGAAGGGTAGAGAGGCTGTTTCCAGGAGACCCTCGGCTCAAAAAAGCAATAGGAGATGATNACCATAAGACCTTCCTAGGAATCTTATCGTACGCTTTCTCCAGATCAATAAACACCATGTGGAGATCCTTCTTCTTATCTCTGTACTGTTCCACCATCCTCCTAATAAGGTGGATAACTTCTGTGGTAGATCGTCCCGGCATGAACCCGAACTGGTTGTCTGAAATAGACACCGTCCTTCGCACTCTCATTTCTACCACTCTCTCCCAAACTTTCATGGTATGACTTAGTAATTTGATGCCCCTATAGTTGTTACAACTCTGAACATCACCTTTGTTCTTATACAACGGGACCATTGTACTCCACCTCCGCTCTTCAAAAAAGGACTTCATTTTTCTGGGGTTCTTTCAATTGAAAAAGAAAGGCACACTACAGAAAGAGGAGATCTGGGAAGGAACTGAAAAAGTAACGCAGCCTCTTTCTTCGTCAAAAAAAAAACCAGTCATCCTTTCCTCCATTTTTGCCATGTAAGGTCACCTTTAGCCACCAAAACTCGAGCAAAAATCTGCAGCAAACCCAGCTGCAAAAAACGCCCAAAAAACCAACTCCGAAACAGTTGCATTGCTGCTGCAAAACCAGCCACAAACCAGCTGAAAAACAGCTTCCTTTTCACCATAAAAATACAGCCATAAACTCACCAAAACCCAGCTGAAATAGCTGCGAAAACAGCCCAGGAAAGTGGCAAAAATCAGCTGCAAGACAGGTCCAAAACGCTGCCTCTTTTCCAGCCGAAAATCGCCTTAAATCAGCCCCAAATCGCTGCAAAAAAAAAAAAAAAAAGACGCAGCAGTTCACCTCCCAAATCAGCCCTCAAAACCATCCTTAAACAAGCTGCAAATAATCTGTTTCAGCTGTGTAAATACCAGCAACAGGAGCTCCAAAAATCAGCCCTCAAATGCGTCCAAAAATCGTCATTTTCACTCCGAAAACGCTGCTAATTGCAGCTGGGAATCACCTTGCAAAGCAGCTTTCAAAATCAGTTCCGAAACTATCTTTAAAGTGAGGTGATGTTCGAGTTCGCCGGTTCGAGGTTCCGGCGATGTCGCCTTTAGAAGTCTCCGATTTTGGTTCAGATCTTTAGCAAAAGTATTAAGTCGGATCTCTTCATTGTGCGTGAATTTGAGAGCTCCCATTTTAAATAAAAATTGCGGCTGATTGAGGTCTGTTCTTTCCTATTTCGATTTATATTTTTGGTCGATCTTTTCATTATATTTGTTCATGAATCACTGTTTATGTGTTTGCTTGGGGTATTTGTTGAAGAA